AACTAGAACAAATAATCTTAAAATTTGTATGGAACCACAAAAGACCCTGAATAGCCAAAGCAATCTTGAGAAAGAGAAACAAAGCTGGAAGTATCACAATTCCAGATTTCAAGTTATATTACAGAGCAGTTATAATTAAAACAGTATAGTACTGGCACAAAAATAGACACATAGATCAATGAAACAAAATAGAAAACCCAGAAATAAACGCAGTTATATGGTCAATTCATCTTCAAGAAAGGATGCAAGAATATGTAATGGGAAAAAGACGTCTCTTCAACAAACGTTGTCGGGAAAACTAGACAACTACAAGCAAAAGAATGAGATTGGGCCACTTTCTTACACTATACACAAAAGCAAACTCAAAATGGATTAAAGATCTAAACGTCCAACCTAAAACCATAAAAGTCCTAGAAAAGAACACAGGTGTAATTTCTCTGACATTGGCCATTGCAACATTTAAAAACATTTTTTTAATGTTTTATTTATTTTTTCAGAGAGAGATAGACACAGCATGAGCAGGGGAGGGTCAAAGAGAGAGGGAGACACAGAATCTGAAGACAGGCTCCAGGCTCCGAGCTGTCAGCACAGAACCCGACGCGGGGCTTGAACCCACAAACTGTGAGATCATGACCTGAGCTGAAGTCGGATGCTTAACCGACTGAGCCACCCAGGCACCCCCATTGCAACATTTTTTTTAGATATGTCTAGAGGTAAGGCAAAAATAAACTATTGGGACTACATCAAAATAAAAAGCTTCTGCACAGCAAAGGAAACCATCAATAAAACTATAAGGCAGCTTACTGAATGGGAGAAGATATTTGCCAATGATGTATCCAATAAAGGGTTAGTATTCAGAATATTTAAAGAACTGACAAAACTTAATAGCCCAAAACCAAATAATCCAATTTAAAAATGGTCAGAAGACATGAAAAGACATTTCTCGGAAGAAGACATCCAGATGGCCAACAGACAATGAAAAGATGCTCAACATCACTCATTATCAGGGATATGCAAATCAAGAGTACAATAAGATATCACGTTACACCTGTCAGAATGGCTAAAATCAAAAACAGGAAACGGATGACAAGAATGTGGAGAAAAAGGAAACCTTTTGCATTCTGGGTGGGAATGCAAACTGGTGCAATCCCCAAAAAGTTAAAAATAGAACTATCCTATGATCCAGGAATCATACTACTGGGTATTTATCCAAAAAAAATACAAAAACTCTAATTCAAAGGGATACACGCTCCTTTATGTTTATAGCAGCATTACTTAAATAGTCAAATTATGGAAGCAGTCCAAGTTCCATCAGTAGACAAATGGATAAAGAAGTGGCATATAGATACAATGGAATATTACTCAGCCATAAAAAGAATGAAATCTTACTATTTGCAACATGGCTAAAGCTAGAAAGTATATTGCTAACTGAAGTAAGTCAGCTAGACAAATACTATATAATCTCACTCATGTGTGGAATTTAAGAAACAAAACAAATAAGCAAAGAAAAGAGAGAGAAAAACAAACCAAGAAACAGACTCTTACCTACAGAAAACAAACTGATGGTTCCCAGAGGGGAGGTGGGTAAGGGGACGGATGAAATAGAGGATGGGGATTAAGACTACACTTATGGGGCATGTGGGTGGCTCAATCCATTTAAGTGTCTGATTCTTGATTTTGGCCCAGGTCATGATCTCACTGTTCATGAGTTTGAGCCCTGCATCGGGCTCTGTGCTGAGAGTGCAGAGCCTGCTTGGTTTCTCTCTCTTTCTCTCTCTCTCCACCTCTCCCTTCCTCTCTGTTTCTCTTTCTCTCTCAAAATAAATAATTAAACTTAAAGACAAGGAAATACCTATCATGATAAAATAAAACTATTGGGGTGGAGCATCTTTCATTGAGAGGGATAGTGATAAGGTAGCTGGTGAAGCCAGTAAATAGGGTCAAAGGCAAATGGCAAGAGTCTCAAAGGGATGGGGTGAACCCATCTTCCCTGAGGGTGGAAGTGAATGGTGTAGAGATTCTGGGGGACTTGTAGGACAGGAAGCCTCCATTAGCCAGGCTACAGCCTGAGGGACAAGTAATATCCTTTAAAATGAAGTCGGTCTCAAGGATAAGGAATGGAATCTTTAGGGAAGCCATGAGGATATGGGGGATTGGGGGAATTTTTTTCCACTGGAACAGGGTTGCAGAGGGAGGTAGGAAAGAAGTGTGAAGGAGAAGTACAGAGCAGGGACAGAATAGAGATGACTGGAAGAAATTACAGATGCATACTGAGCAAGGAGTACAGGGGTGTGTTGAAAGGAGGAATGAGGGGGCCTCAAAGTTTGTTAGGAGCTCTTGAGTGACCTGGTGACAGCCTGGGTAGGTTACTCTTCCCATAGAATTTAAAGTCTCAGGTGGGTGAGAAGACACTAGTCGCTCTGGAAAGTGTCAGAGGAGATGTGGCCTCGAGTGCAAAGACACAGAAGAGAGGCGTAGTCAGGGCTCCAGGCTGAGGCAATAGGAATGGGGTTTCAAAGAGGGATGGAGCCCCAGGCTTGGGGTGGCAAAGTTCTTGCGCTCTGCTCAGAGGGCTCCATGGGACCATCTGGCACAGAGCAGGTGTGTCAGCTGACTTGAATTCCAATCTGATCATTTGAGTGGTTGTTGATTTTTTTTAAGTAATCTCTGCACTCAACATGGGGCTTGAACTCTTGACCCGGAAGTCAAGAATCGCATGCTCTTCCAACTGAGCCAGCCAGGCATCTGACAATATCGGATCATTTGAAAGAAACAGAAAGTCATTGAGCAATTGCTCTCTGTTAATTGTTTCAGGGGTGGAAGGGTTCTGAGAATGGAATTAAAATAATCCCTCTGCATGCTCACATCATAAAAGCATAGTAGCGAGCATATCACACTGGCTTGCTATGATGCACGAGGAGATGGTTCAGTATGAGAAAAAACATCTTGTTGGTTTTGGAGCCAAAAAATCAAAGCTGTAAAGACCATATGATCTGTGGCAGCAGTTTCTCTTCAAAGATAGGTTTATAAGTAATCAGAGTAGGAGGCCTTGCTGGGTAAGGCATGAATCTTTCCAAATGCTGTTCACTGGCACAGAAGGATGCCAACTGTATTCTACTTCAACCCTTTTCTGTTACCCTAATACGAATGAAAGAATTATAATAACAGTTATGATTAGTGGAGTACTTCAAGGTACCTACATCTCAATGAAGTATTCCCTAGTCCTGTATTTCACGGAGTTGTTTTCTGATCTACTCCGGATATTCAGTGGAATGCATGTGAGCCAGAAACTGCAACAGTAAGAAGAGAGTTCAAGATGCAAGAAGAAAAAAGAGACAATAATATGAATGTCACCTTTTCTCTTTTTTTCACAGTAGGAAGTACTATAGTATTAGAGTGCGCTGAGGTGAACAGAGTGTAAGAGATACTAGTATGTTAAGTGAGATGTAACTCATGCTTCTGTTGCAGTAGTGCTGGTATCTCTGATAGAGTTTGATCTGAAAGCAGTTTTATTATTTTGCATTTATAAATAAGCCTCAAGAGTGACGGATTTCAGGGGTCTCTGGATGGCTCAGTCACTAGAGCACATGGCTCTTGGTCTCAGGGTTGTCAGTTTGAGCCCCACATTGTGTATAGAGATGACTTAAAAATAAAATTAAAAAAGAAAGATGGACAGATTTCACATGTGACTTTGTCATTATAAATAAAAGGTGGAGGGAGGGAAGGAGATATGGCATACCTCACTACTTCTGAGCTACTCTATATAAATAACTCTGCACTTAATCATGAAAGTGGATTTGACCTTTAGGGAAAGACCTTTTTCATAAGGCAATCGATTTTTGCCATTCTTTGGAGCGTTTACTTAAGAAAGATTTTCCTGTGATCAACCTTCCCTGCAAAAGACATTATGTCTAACAAACACCATTTCCTATATCAAAATTGGTTGGTCTAAAATCCATGCTTAGAGTGTGCTGTGATATTCTCTAGGTAGGCATCATGACTTGAATGGATAATTTCAGATTAGGCTGCAGAAATACTGTATGGAGACATTGTGCTCTAAAAAGGAGTTTTTTTCTACCATAAATTGTTTTGACAGTTTTACCATCCATCACCGATCTCTTGATATTGCAAAAGGGAATTTATGAGAAAGAACACGGCTGCTTCTTTCTGACTGGGTGCTAGACTGGAGATGTTTTGGGGAAGAAAGACCTTAACAAGGCTTGGAGGAAAGGCATCCATAGAGTATTTATTATTCTCTCCACTTCCTTTCTTTAAAGTATTGTCATTGAGGTCATTATAAATCTTTGAAAGCAGCACTTCTGTCCTGTATCCTATACCCACTACCAGCAGATATTTATAGAAATAAAATAGTATCTTGCATCCCTTCAGTGAAGTTCCACAAAGCTGGTTCCAAATAAAAATGAATAAATAATGTTGACCTAAGCCTTGTAGATAATGTTAAAAAGCAAAAAATTGATTAGTCCATCAGTTCTGTTATGTGCTGACACTAACACCCTCGGATTTGGGAAGTTGGCTTATTTTAAGAGAAAATGGTTTAGAAGATGCAAGGAAAAACAAACCAGAAAACCCATTAATAGATATTGATTTTGTTACAACATCAATTTGATAACTTTCTGATTGCCTTTTAACAGTGGTGAACTAATTGAGTTAGTACAAGTTGGTGAAAAAATGATTTATATGTATATAAATATATATTATAACCTATATTACACACACACATATATAGATACATATACATATAGACACATATATATGTATGTGTGTATGTTAACTTTGTCCTTTCTATTTCAGGGTCAAAGAAAAGATTTGAGATTTGAAAATTAACTGCAATGATGCTGACGTGCATTAGAAATAATAAAATTTTCATTGTAGTACTTTCTTTAAGTACCTGCATTAACACATTACATTTAAGCTTAGATTATTCCTAAGATTTCTTTAACATGTATACATATCAAAGGGCCAGAAAGCTGTCAACTTACATTTCTTTAATTCCTGAGTTATGAGGCAGCAGTCTGACTGTGTTCATCTCTACATCCGTGGTTCCATGCACAATGTCATACACACATTGGGTCTTCTATAAATGCCTATTGGATGAAAGAGTAGATGAATGAATGAAGCCTTAGGGTAAGGAGAAACTCTAAAAAGTCACTTCCCTTCCGTTATGATTCAACTTGAAGCATCTGTTTCAATTGATTTTCACATTCATATTCTGGTATGGATGCAGCCCTGCGCTCTTATATTTCCTCTACAGGAGGGATATTAGCCCACATCACATCATATTATGGTTTGCTGAATGTGTTCATCTCTCTTAGAAGATTCTAAAGTCTATACCTTTTCCAGTTTTCTATTTCTGGTGCCTAGCATGGTATGTGATACATGATAGATTTTCAGCAAATACTCCATAAATGAACTGGAAGACTTCTCGAATAGCATGCTAGTCTTTGGTGGCTTGACCTTGGTCAAGTCACTGTACTCTGGGGATCAAAGTTTCCTCAGCCATAAAACAGATACTTTTTATCCTTCTGTGACTCTTACTACAGATGAGAAATACTTGGCTGTAGGGAAGTACCAAAGGTTGGGTAACTTGCAAAAAATTTTCTCCCACACAGAATTTCTTAGAAAGGAGAAGGGAAAAGGAACCAGCATTTATTATATGACTTACATAATCAACTTTGTAGCCATATGTGAGATAGGATGTTATTATTCTAATTTTATAGGTAAGAAAAATTGGCTTCAGAGAGGTATGTAATTTGCCCAAGATCACACAGTCAGTCAATGGTTGGGTCAGGATTCAAATGTAGTTCTACTGACTTTAGAAGCCCATTTAATTTCCTTCATGCACATGATCCCACCTGTTCACATCCTGATAAGATAGAAAATCCAGGGGCGCCTGGGTGGCTTAGTCGGTTAAGCGTCCGACTTTCGCTTAGGTCATGATCTCGCGGTTCGTGGGTTCGGGCCCCGCATCGGGCTCTGTGCTGACAGCCAGCTCAGAGCCTGGAGCCTGTTTCAGTCTGTGACTCCCTCTCTCTCTGAACCTCCCCTGCTCACGCCCTCTCGCTCTCTCTCCCCTAGAAATAAATAAAACATTAAAAAAAAAAAGATAGAAAACACATTTTCATTGAGGATAGGATATACTATTTTCATTTTGTGCTTCTTTCCTTTATAACTTGAATCAAGGAAAAATATGAGAGATTCTTGCTGGGAATATATTCCCTAATTGTATTTCATCTGCTTAAGCTCCATGAAGGAAGTTGAAATTGAGGGCATGTCAAAATAAGGAAAAGAGACCGTGTGGCAAATCATAAGCAAGATGACTCTACCACCTGGACAATAAACAAGAGGGTGACAGGACAGGCCTGATCAGCTGGAAAGAGAGCCAAGGCTGTTTGCCTGATAGGAGCAAGAGGAAGAGATCAGGTCATGGTGACTGACATAAGAAATGACAGGTCTATGGTGGTTTCGCAGGAAAAGTCCCATGAGGTTCTCTGCATCCTATGGTGTGTTAGATGGTGAGCCCCCAAGGCATATGCGATGATGGGCACAGGCCACTGCGTTAGAACTTCTTTTTATTGACTATAAAAATTGTTTAATGTTTATTTATTTTTGAGAGACAGGGAGACAGAGTGTGAGTCAGGGAGGGGGAGAGACATTGGGAGACACAGAATCCAAAACAGGCTCCAGACTCTGAGCTGTCAGCACAGAGCCCAATGAGGGGCTCAAACTGGGGAATGGTGAGATCATGACCTAAGCCAAAGATGGGTGCTTACCCAACTGAGCCGCCCAGTTACCCCTCTTTTCTTTTAATTAATTAATTAATTTATTTTCAGAGAGACAGAGACAGCTTGAGTGGGAGAGGGGCTGACGGACAGGGAGAGAAAGGATTCCAAGAAGGCTCCATGTGTCAGTGCCGAGCCTTATGCAGGTCATGAACTCATGAACCGTGAGCTCATGAGCTGGGCAGAAACCAAGGATTGGAGGCTTAATTGACTTGAGCCACCCAGGTGCTCCTAGAACTTCTATTTCTAATCTAATGTTAGATCCCTCATGGTTTTAAGAACTATTCTTTAGACTTTTTCCTGCTTGATTTTGTTTTATTAGGTTAACTTTCAGTGTAACATTTTTAAGTGTTATTAACAGATTAATTCTAGGGATCTGTATGTTAATGTAAAGGTCAAACTGCCCCACACAATCATAGGAGCCGTGTAGGACGGATTTGTATCTGCTCTCTCTAGGAAACCTGAAGCAGGCTGATGATGTATTTGACAGAAAGTGTAAATGGTTTCTGTAATCCCAGTTTTCTTCCTGCTATCTTACTTAGGTCTCCTCAAAAGTTACATATTAATTCACTATACTCAGGTAACCTCCTAAACTTTTAAAATAACATTTCTTCAAATAGAAGTTTTAAAAATATACATTGGATGGGAAGAAAGGGTGAGGAGAAGCTCCTATAAATTTTATATGTGCGAGAAGCCAGGCGGCCGAGGGTCAGCTAACCAACATTGGCAAGTGGCACTGGCTCAGCCTGGGATGAACCAGATTAGGTTGGGAAACTTCTCTTTGCACTTTAGAAAAGAATATTCATCATCAGAATCTTTGTTTCTGACACCATTCTTTAATAAAAGGGATCATGGCTTCTCAGAAAAATAGGTAATTCTAAGACTGGGACAGGAAATACACAAGAAGAGCCTGGAGCTTCCTGAAGTACCAGAAAGTAAGGAAGCGCTCAAAGAAACAAAATACAACCATTGGTGGGGGTATGTTACAGAAACACAGGAGCCATCAGGCTCTCTTGCTGTCAGAGTGGAGCCTGCTTCAGATCCTCTGTTCCCCTCTCTCTCTGCCCCTCCCCTACTTGCCTGTGCATGCTCGCTTTCTTTCTCTCTCTCTCAAAAATAAATAAACATTAAAAAAATCTAAAGAAAACAAAATAAAATACAGACTTTAATAATCACACTACTATTGTTTCATTAATTATAACAGATGTACCATACTAATATAAGAGGTTAACAATAGGGGAATCTGGGGGCGCCTGGGTGGCTCAGTCGGTTAAGCATTCGACTTCGGCTCAGGTCATCATCTCACGGTTCATGGGTTCGAGCCCCAGCTCAGAGCCTGGAGCCTGTTTCAGATTCTGTGTCTCCACTCTCTCTGACCCTCCCCTGCTCATGCTTTCTCTCTCTCAGAAATAAATAAAACATTACAAAAATTTTTTAAAATAGGGGAATCTGGGTATAACGTAAATGGTAAAAAAACAGTATTTGTGAAGTTTTTTCTAAAAGGTAGTGGGCAGATTGTGGGATAAATAATGGGATAAGGAGAAAATGGATGCTAAAAGGATCTCTCACTTTTATTCATTCTATTAAAAAACTCTTATATTGCAAATGTTTATAATTTGTATAGTCAAGAAAATAAATCAAAATTAATTTTTCTAGATTTGTTCAGAGGTATTTGCTAGCTGGTAATCTGAAGGTGTGGGATGTTTTCTAGGACATAAGGAGGCAAGACACTCTTATCATGATTTGAAACCAAAACTGTGACATCACCGATGTAGAGTATTTATAGACTGTCTACAGAGTCTCACTATGTTGTACGGGCGTGGTGGCTGGTCCACAAACATGGCCACCATGAACTCTTCCCCTCCTGTATGTGCATGCTGCTTCTCTCTTCAAGGGGGGAACTTATTTGCCTTCCTCTTGAATCTCTCTTTATCACTGACTTTAACCCATGAATACAGTAGAGGTGACTTTCTGAAATTTTTAAATCTAGACTTTAGAAAAAACAGCAGAGTCAGTTTCCCATCTCTTGAAATCAGCTTTCAAACTATGAGAAACCTAAGCCAAGTGGAGAGCTGGAGAGCCTACCTGCCTGCTTGCCTTCCTTCCTTTTTCCTTTCATTCACTTTTAGTGTTCACTGTAAAATTCTAAGAATACTAAAGTATTTGAAGAAAAAGAGAAAAAGTCTACCATTCCCATCCCTTCCACATATCCATCCCTATCTTTTAGAAGTAACAGTAAGATCGGTATTTGGATGTGTGAGTGAGTGTGTGTGTGTGTGTGTGTGTGTGTGTATGTGAATGTGTGCACGCACATGCTCACGTGCATGTGTGTGGGTGCCTGCATGGGTGTGTGTGCGTGCATCTGTATATAAAACATTTTGGAATCCTTGTGTGGTGATTGCTAGGCTTCCAGTAGTGTTCTTTTCTTTGAGAATGACTCCAGATATGGAAAGGTGGGTCTGTGGAATATTCTACACATTTTCTACCCTTCATGGAGAGGCTGATTGATCCCAGAATGGACATGTGATCTAAGCCAAGACGATGACATCATTTATGTGCCATGGATATCAGGGAGTCTGGGAGTTAGCAGCTGGGCCACTTCAATGGTAGAAGAGATCTATCTGTATACCGAGGAGAAGATGCGGCCCTTGTTCATTTCCTTCTCATTCCTGAATCTTATTTTTTTTAATGTTTTATTTATTTCTGAGAGAGAGAGAGACAGTGTGAGCAGGGAAGGATCAGAGAGAGAGGGAGACACAGAATCTGAAACAGGCTCCAGGCTCTGAGCTATCTGTCAGCACAGAGCCCAATGTGGGGCTCGAACCCACGAACTGTGAGATCATGACCTTAGCCGAAGTCGGATGCTTAACCGACTGAGCCACCCAGGCGCCCCTCTCATTCCTGAATCTAAATGGTCCAACATTAGCCACCAATTTATTAACTATGTCAGTACTTATCTAAAACACAATTTTATCTTTTGCTCAATCTAAACAAAACAAGCTTTTGTTACCTGAAATAAAAAAATCTTAGTGTATATATGTACATAGAGAGTATTTCTAAAATGGGATAATAGAATTCATTACATTCTAAAGCTTCTGTTTCTCCCTTTGTACTATGCATCATGAACATCATTTTACATACTCCCTTTAGAGACAGCATTTTATGTATGGAGGTACTGTAGTCTATTTAGTCATTTTCCTTTGGGTCGGTTATTTCAAGTATTTTTGCCATGAACAACGTGGCAAAGGTGAGCGCTAACGGGATTACGAGAAGCTGAAGGAAGAGGGTGTGGCTCCTTTCTTCTCTACTCTTAACTGCAATCTGTCTGCCTCTCCTGAGACAAACAGGTTTAGGAGACTCTAGGTTCTGTAAAAATTCCAGCAAAGATAATTTTGTATATTGTGGACAGGGGAAGCCAGCTGGAGAATCCTTTCTCCTCACAATCTCCATCCCTGGGAGCTTTGTGCAAAGCAAGGAATCCTGCGAAGTCTTTGGCTTCAGAGCTCTGTGGCCAATGGGGTCAGTGACTTTGGTCATATATAAGTGTGTCACATTTCTTTGGTTCCCGAGACCCAAAGGAAACTGACCCAGTAGGCAAAGTCCTCTTTCCTCTGGAGGCTAGGAAAGTGTAGAACTCTGGGGAGCAAACAAAGTTCCTCCCGGTGGTCCATGAGGGGCCTTCTATACTGTAGCCTCACAGGAGAAAAGTCTGCTCCATTTTCCACCACTTGCAGAGGCGCTGCCCTGAAGACCCCTCCAGCAACCAGACAGGACCTTCAGAGAGTGAACAAGAGCAATGGACACAACTCCAAGGTGGTCTAGCCGTCAGAGAGAAGAAAGTCGCTCAGGTCAACCAGAACACATCCACTAAAGTCAAGCTTCTGGAAGAGACAGCTGGAAATTTGACCAAAGAAAGAACACTTAAGGAGATGCAAGTAAATTGTGTGCGCATGTGCTCACACAGACTTTCTGGGGCTAAAAACATGATTTCCCATCCACACACTCTGCTAGACAAGCTGGAGGAAAGTTACTGATGGTCTGGCAAATCAAACTGTAGAGTCATTTCGAAACACAGAGCAAAAATTATAGAGAGGAAAACCGTTAGGAAAGAGTAAAAGACTTGGAGGGTGCATCAAGGGCACCTAACTAGCAAATAATAATAATAGGTGCTCCAGAGGAGCTAAAGGAACAGATGGAGGAGAGGCAATAATTAAACAAATTAGAAGAACATTTCCCTCCAATGAATGAAAATCTGAGTCTGCAAATTGAAAGGGCTCACCAAGTTCCAGCAATGATTAATGAGAAAACATACACATTTAGGCATATCCTGCTAAAATTCCTGAATTCTAAGGATTAAAACAAATTTTATATGCTTCTAGAACAGAAAAAAAAGTTATCTATAAAAGAAAAAGAATAAGCTCCCATAGTACCCCTTATTGGCTGCATAGACAATTAGGATACAAGAATCCTATCTCGTCAAGTTCTCATTCACTTAACTAGGTGGGTGACAGTGTTTATGGACATGCCAGAATTCAGAGCATATAGATCCCATGTAATTCACTGACTCCCACTATGGCAGAGAACAGCATTTCTTAACTTTAATGTAAATCACCTGAGGATCATGTTAAAATGCAGATTCCAGTTCAGCAGGTCTGCGGGGAGATTGGAGATTCTGCATTTCTAACAAATTCCCAGGTGATGCTTTTGCTGCTGGTGCCTGGACCACAGGCATAAACTCTCAGGATGACCCTTTGGGTTTGAATCTTTGGCTCTACCCCTTTCCGGCTGTGTGAAATTATTCTTTATTTTTTTCTATGCCTCAGTTTCTTCATCTGTAAAGCAGGGATAATGATAGTACCTGCCTTCTAAAGGTGTAAAAGTTAAGTGATCTAGTATAAGTCAACTTCTTAAACTGTGACTGACATATAGTAAGTATTCAATAAATACTGGCGATTAACATAATGAAACATTCTCTGGGAATATGTGATTTGAGTGTTAAACAGGAGGTTTTAGAACAGAAGCAGCATGATGCAAAAAGGCCATTTTCTTATTGTAACGGAAAACGCTGAATGAGCTCAGCAAGTCCTGGACACTGGAGTGGGGGAGGGCAAGTACTAGCACTGCCAAGGTCTCATCTGGGGAAGACAGAGGGGAGAGGAGGTCACATGTGCATTCAGAACTATTTTGGAGTTTATCCTGTGGGGATAATTGGTAGCTTGTTTTCAGAGAGCAGAGAAGATGTCTTATCCTGAGCACCGGAGTAGAGAAGGTGCCTGTTAACAGGATATAAATGAATATTAGAATTCCCATATTAACACAGGAAAATAAAAGGGACTGAGCAGGAAATTTATCCAACCAGCAAGAAAAAGAGAATAGGGGCGCCTGGGTGGCTCAGTTGGTTAAGCGTCCGACTTTCGCTTAGGTCATGCTCTCGCGGTTTGTGGGTTCGAGCCCCGCGTCGGGCTCTGTGCTGACTGCCAGCTCAGAGCCTGGAGCCTGTTTCAGAGTCTGTGACTCCCTCTCTCTCTGACCCTCCCCTGCTCACGCTGTCTCTCTCTCTCTCTCCTAGAAATAAATAAAACATTAAAAAAAAAGAAAAAGAAAAAGAATAAAATTGAGTATTTATCTTAAGAATCTTGCAATAGGAGCACCTGGGTGGCTCAGTAGGTTAAGGGTCCGACTTTGGCTCAGGTCACGATCTCACGGTTTGTGAGTTCGAGCCCCGCCGCAGGCTCTGCGTGGACAGCTCAGAGCCTTGAGCCTACTTTGGATTCTGTGTTTCCCTTCTTCTCTGCCTGTCCCCTGCTTGGGTTCTGTCCCTCTCCCTGTGTCTCTCTCTCAAAAATAAATAGCCATTTAAAAAAAGAATCTTGTAAGACAATCTAAAAAATTGGAAGTATAATCTAAGGGCAAGGGAGACCTTCTTGACCAAACTATCTTCTTGACACTTCTTGACACTTGTCAAGACCTTCTTGATACTTCCCCCACCCCAAAAGATCTGTTTGAGTAAAAATGGGAAATTTAGAAAATATTCATAAGTACATGTAACTATAAGAGAGACTGGCTGGCTGTTCACAAAACTGATTCCCTTTCTTCAAGGGACATATTTTATCCTCTATTATATTCTTACAGCTGTATTTATTGAGGTACAATTGAGGCTTAATCAGCAGCACTTGTTTAAAATGCACAGTTTGATGCATCTTGCCCTGTGTATAATACCTGTGAGATCATCGCCACAATCAAGGTAAAGAAATATTCGTCATCCCTAAAGATTTCTTGGTGCCCCTTTGGAACCCGCTCCTCACTCCGCCCCCACAGGCTTCCATGTACACTACATTTCTCAGCCTTCCTGTAGGGTATGGCCAGGCGCCTAGGTAGCAGCCAAAGAGACATGAGCAGAAGTGAGAGCATTCCTCCACGCCTAGCCTCCCGTGTGTGAGCCGTTCTCTCCTCCTCTATGTCCTTGCAGGATAGGCAAGGTGACTTAGGAAACCACCGCTGGAGACGGCAGAGCCCTCATCAGCCTGCATCTCTGAATGGCTGTGGATCAGAGCACCCCATCCCATCGCCAATAAACCTCTCTTGTGTTAAATCACAATTTGAGTGTTGCAACAACTGGCATTACCTTAGCTAATAAAGTGATATTCACAGAGCTCTTACAAACTGACAAGAAATAATCAAACAGCTAGGTGGGAAAACGTTAAGAAGAAGCAACTCACAGAAGAGCAGATCCAAATTTAGAACACACAACACAAATGGAAAGCCGTTTATACACTAGTTAAGTAGGAAATCTGAAGTAATGCATCAGACTAGCAACTGTTAAAGAGACTAATCATACGTGCTGTCAGGGTTGAAGTGGACAGGATACTCAAACACTGGTGGTAAAAATGTGAGTGGTTACAGGCTTTCAGAAAATCAATCTGGCAGCATGTACTAAAATAATAAATACAAATAGTCTTTATTTAGTAGTTCCACTCCTGGGCGCCTATCTGAGGCAATAACGGAATGAGGATGTGAAAATATCTATGTACAAGGATGTTTACTGCAGATTGTGTATATGACAAAATCAAAAACAATTAAAATACAACTGGAAACAGAAGGAGCAACTATCATTAAAAGAATGGTTGAATCATGGATAGAATAACCGTTGTGTGGGAAGTTATACTGCAAATTGAAAAAAAATAAATTACAGCTAAATCAGATAACATGTAGGGATTTTCATGAGGTTTTGAAGGGAAAAGAAAAATTAAGAAAATGGTATATAACACAAATGATTTCCATTAAACGACCACCCAAACCTTCTAGTACATGAAGGTGTATGTGAAAATATACGCGCACGCGTGCATGTGTGTACGTAAAATAAGCATGGAAAACTAAAGATAACATAAGGCATTAAAACATGGACTTATAAGTATGGTTGGAAGGGGAGGTATGGTAGGCTAATGGCCCCCCAGCATTACCATGCCTAAGAACCTGTGAATATTACCTTACGAGGCAAACTGAACTTCATAGGAGTGATTAAGTTATGGACTTCATGGTGGGAAAATTATCCTAGATTATCACCAGAATGTCATCCAGTATCACCACAGGGGTCATTATAAGAGGGAGGCAGGAGATCAGAAGAATAGAAGAGGAAAAGGCATTAATATTGACAATGACATTGCCATGATGGAGCCACAAGCAACAAGCCACAAGCCAAGGAATGCTGGTATCTACCTGAAGCTGGACAATGCAAGAAACAGATTCTCCTCTGGAGCCTCCAAAGGGAATCAGCCCTGCTCACATCTTGATTTCAGCCACGTAAGACTCATTTCAGCTTCTGGCCTGTAGAACTGTAAGCAAACAAATTTCTGTTTTAAACTACTGCATTGTGGCAATGTGTGACAGCAGCAATAGGAAATGATGGTGGTGAAGGGTGTGTTATGCAACAATGACTTCCACGCAAAGAATCTTCTCCCCCTGAGTGTAAGTAGAACCTGTGGACCTGGCAGAATAGCAGTCCTGTGATTATGTTACGTGGCAAAAGCAAAGGGATCTTTGAAGGTGTAATTAGATTTGACTTTGAGTTCATCAGAAAGGCTATTATCCTGGATGAGCCTGATTTGATCAAGTCAATTCTTTAAAAAGAGGGCTTAGGGCTTCCCTGAGATCAGAGATGGGGGAAGCAGCAGAGACTATTTCTCCTGCCACCCTTGCAGAAGCTGGTCACCATGAGTTCTACAGCCACAGGAAAGGGGCTTTGCCAACAATCACAGGAGCTTAGGAGGGGAACCTGAATCTGGAATGAGACCGTGACCCCCCAAAGACACCTTGACTGCAGCCCTGTGAGACCCAAAGTAGAAGATCCCACTAAGTCACGCCCAGACTCCTGGGCCAAGGAAGCTCGGAGATAGTAGCTAAGTGTTACTTTAAGCCCCTGAGTTTGTGATAATTTCTTACACAATAGACAACCACTACAGAAGGTGAAAATAGACAACAAAGGAAAGACCAAGGGGGAGAAAGAAATCCCTGCACTAAAAAATACCATTGATTATATTTATCATCATGATAAACCAAATGGATACGTGTAAAGTAAAAAGGATTATTTTAAAAGTAAAAAAAAAACCTTATACACATTTGGAATTTTTAGTTGTAGAATGAATTCAGAAGAATATGGGACAGTTGTGTGAGAATGAGAGGAAAAGTGTGGAGGTATTGGTGTTGCTGTAAGTTGAGATATGAGAAAGCTATAGAGGGAAAAGAATTTATTTTTTTAATTTTTTATGTTTTATTTATTTCTGAGAGAGAGAGAGAGAGAGAGACTGAATGAACAGGGGAGGGTCAGAGAGAGGGAGATACAGAATCTGAAGCAGGATCCAGGCTCTGAGCTGTCAGCACAGAGCCCGACGTGGGGCTCGAACCCATGAACCGTGAGATCATGACCTGAGCCGAAGTCGGATGCTTACTGACTGAGCCACCCAGGTGCCCCTAGAGGGAAAGAATTTAAAGATGTTTAGCTGTGTATGACAAGTGGAATTCACTTGGATACCTATTCGGGAAGTTTCAATTGAGATTTTCAATGCAGTCAATAATTTGGCGATGTCAATGCTATTTCTTTTGGATGTAAGATAGTGCTAAAGCTGTCCAGAAGGTCGTTCCTCTTTCTACAGATTATGTTCCCTAAAACTCCTGTGGCTCCCCATAGCCCTCAGGCAAAAGCCTGCACTTCTTAGTAGGACTTCTAATGCTCTTATCTTTGGCCAAACCTGTATGTACAGAGCTCTTTACATATATTTTATTTATTTTTAAAGTTGTATTTCTTTTTTAAATTTATTATTATTTTTAACTTTATTTGCGAAAGAGAGAGAATCTCAAGCAGGCTCCACGTGGAGCCTGTTGGTGGGCTCAATTCCACAACTCTGGGATCATGACCTGAGCTGCAATCAAGAGTCAGAGGAACTCAACCTGCTGAGTCACTCAGGTGTCCAAGAGCTCTTTACATCACAAAGTCACAGGACTTCCCTTAAAAAATGTTGCAACACTATTGTTATACCTATATGAAGCCATCTTATAGGGGTACATTGGTAGGATGGATTCTTATAGTGGAATTGCTGGATGAAAGAAGATACACATTACATTTTAATAAAATCTTTATATTTTCAAGCTTGGTCTGCAAACAAACAAACAAACAAACAAACCTCCACCCCCAAAAAAGCCTGACCATTGTATAGTCTGCCCAACATAGGGTATGAGAGAGCCCATTTACCCATATCTTGTAACATTATGAATATTTATAACACCACTTATCAGAAATTCTTTTAATCTTTGCCTGATAGGCAAAAATTAGGTAGGAGCACACTTTTCTTATATGCATCACCCATTTGTATTATTTCTCTGAATTGTCTGTCCTTAACCTTACAATCTGAAATGGTTGCTCTCAAATGAAAGGCAAACCATCTTCTGTGGGACGTAACGGTAAGAAAACCTTTCCCCTTCCAGCAATATCACCATGGCGCAGTGAACTACTGAGTATCACACCATCGAAGCGATTCTGTTACACTCAAAAAGCTGCTTTGGGAAAACACTCTGATGAGTAAAACAGTAAAAACATTCCTGCCTCCTAAGGTATGTGATGCAACACAAATGAATCATTAAAATCATTGTAAGAATAGCTTTCATTTAAGTATATAAAAGTCAGGATGGAAAATGTTTTCAGGGTTTGCTACAATAATCTACACCAACTTAATGTCTTCTCTCTTACTTGGTTCTCGGGTATTGCCAAATTTATCTTACTCTCCTGCCTCGCTCTACTAACTTTCAAAGGAGCTGGATCTATATTATTGAAACTCTATTGCGTAAATTTTAGTTACCCTTCTCTTCAAGATCCCTAGCTAGGCCATCTAGGATAGGTCACTTCATTCATTCATTCCATCATTCATTCACTCATTCAAAAAACTAGTTAGCATGGATTTTGCTTTAGGCATCCTGTAAGACTGATGACACAGTGGTAAATATACTGAAACATACCATCTTTTCATGGATTTGCAGGTTAGTGAGAGAAGTCAGTTCAGTAAAGACCATTATTATATAGTACCGTATTCGAGGAAGTTCAGATATTTGGAAGTGGCTGGCTTGGGGTGGGCATAAGAGAGCTGTTCCAAACAGAGGAAAACAATATCTATTGGCAAAGAACTATCATCATCATCACATGACATTACCTATGCATGCCCATCCAGGCATGGAATCAGCCACAGATTCTTGTGGAAATTTTAAGAACTTTGACACAAAATTTTGGGAATGTATTTGAAGTTTCTATTTCACTAGACTCTCTTCCCCTGCCAGTAAGGGAAGAGTGGTACCAGGATTGCTGGAAGTCATGCCTGTGCTACAATCATTGATTTGACATTTGGAGAGCATCTTCGCCATTCCTAGTATGTGCTGGGCATTGGGAATATCTAGCTGAATAAGACACCATTGCAAGCCTGAAGGACCAACAGTCTCATGGGGGCGGGAGAGAAGACAGACAAATAACTATAATTGTAATTCATCATAAGTACTGTGGAAAAGGAAATATGTGCATTATAAGGTGAGCATAAAAGGAGGGAATGAATTTACTTCACCAGGGAGCTGGGGAAGAATTCATAGATCTTGATGAGTAGATGTCTACCAGGAAGTCAAATTGGGGAAGCTTTGAGGTTTTTTTCATTTTTCACAGAAAGAACACAAAGGTCGAAAAGGAATAATATCTGCAGAAAGAATTAAGAATGTGGTTGTGGCCAGAGAACAGGATACATGGTAAGCAGTAGAGAGAAAGGGAGAGATGAACAATATCCAGTTGGTGAGGGCCTGGCCTAGGTGATTAAGTCTAGCAATAACATCGGGACTATTATCACTAAGAGGGGTAATGGTGTTACACAGGAAATGTCATGGTAGCCTAGCATTAATGCAACAGGGGACTTAATTTTCAGAGCCTACTCCAAAGAGGAGGTAATCCTTCAAACCAAAAGAAGTTTAATCCACTCTTTCCTACCCCCTCCCCCATTACAGCTCCAAAAGATGCAATCTTCCAGGGGTACTTCATACCCCAGAAAGTCCAGAGACAGATTTACCTGAGATCAACTATTCCTGATGCTACTGTTCAGAAGCTAGCGATGATCTGTCAAAGCTATAACAACCTGAGGTAAAAAGTGAGCATCTCAGCACGGACACTCTAGGAACCAAACAGTGAGAAGCACACAGAGGAATACCGTTAAAGGTTATTACCAGTGTCTTGGTGAGGATCAACTAGAGATAAATAGAACAACCCATTATAGACTGCCTTTGCAGTTAGCTGAATGTGATAGAGTTCTCACTTCAAAGTATGGCTTTGGTCAACATCTTTTGCCACCTTCATACATTCCCAAGTTAGAGAACCCCTCTGGATGTGGTTTTGTACATAGATATCTTTACTGGGCAGACAGTGAAGAGTTCAGTGTGCAGAGTGAACAAAACCAGACAACAAGGCCCCCATCCAGACTGCTGTCTGGATGCGTTACCTGCCACACCAGCCTTAGCAGTTTGGACTTCATGCTTCAGACCAGAGATTCAGTGAATCGTAGTGAATGGGCTACTCAGAACCCCTTGGACCTAAGGGTAACTAGGCAGGATGTCGAACAATTATAGTCTTGGGCTCTTTGCTTCAGACACAAGTAATCTGTTCCATTTAGTTTGATGTGAGCCTAAAAATATTACTATTTCCTGTGTCTTGATAGGTGAAAGAGCATTCCTGCAATGGAGAGGAATAATGCACTCTGGGCATTATTCCTCTTCACCCTGAAATGTGGTCACCTCCAACTCAAAGCTCTGGATGCTTCTCTGGCATCTTCTGGATGCAAACAAAATATGCTTGTAATATAGAAGACCTGGGACCTTCACACTGGGATAATGAAGACAGATTAGCAGGCAGGATTGAGAGCAAAGAGGTGAAGTCATCGTTAAATTACCCTTTAAGATGCAATTACATGACAGATAGTGAATAGCTGCTATCCATCTCTTCTTAGAAATGAAATGGACTTGGGCTTGAACTGCAGCCTGAGGAATTAATGTTAGATAAAAGGATGCACAAGACCACTTCATACTTCTTAGTCGCTCATCTTTATATGTTTGTGTAGTTATCATAGTCTGCTTTGATTTGGAGTCATCAGTGTATTCATCTGCCACGCTCATTCATTTGTGTATCCACAATACCTCATACGGTGCCTCATACAGTGTGGGCTCTCAGTAAACATTGCATTGCATCAACTTGTTAAGTGATGGTGCTCAGGAGACACAGGCTGATGTTCTCAAAAGTTGCTTGATACAGAACAAG